AATACTTTGATCCATTTCAATTTCATGTTATACCAAATATCACCTGGAAAACAACCAAATAATGTGCCAGATAAAAACAGTTTTGAACTGATCAGTGTTGAGCCAAGTCTTGCCCTCAGTACTTCAGTCCTGCTGTAAGAAATCGGCTCAACCAGCATCTCTGCAGCTTCATTTACTCCCACTGCTCTCACCAGCACACCTGTGTGATTTGACATACTCGAACCGAGTGAATGTTTATTACAAACACTACAACTAAATGGTTTCTCCCCTGTGTGGACAATCAAGTGTTGTCTCAGATGTCCCCTTGTTGAAAATGCTTTACCACAAAACGAACAACTAAATGGTTTTTCCCCTGTGTGGATTTTCATGTGTCTGGACAAATGGCTTCTTTGACTGAATCTTTTTTTACAAACTGAGCATGAGAAAGGTTTTTCTCCTGTATGAATTCTTAAGTGTAATGTCAACCTGGAGTTTAGTGCAAATCCTTTACCACAAACTGAACAACTAAAGGGTCTCTCCCCAGTGTGGACTGTCATGTGCTTCACAACATCTCCTCTCCCATGAAAACTTTTCTTACAAACTGAGCAGCTGAAAGGTTTTTCTCCTGTATGAACTTTTAAGTGTTGGGTCAAACTTCCGCTTTCAGAAATCCTTTACCACAAACTGAACAACTGAAAGGTTTCTCCCCTGTGTGGATTCTCATGTGCTTCACAAGATCTCCTCTTCGCTGAAAAGGTTTTTACAAACTGAGCAGCTGAAAGGTTTTTCTCCTGTATGAACTCCCAGGTGTGTGGTCAAATTTGAGTTTTGTGCAAATCTTTTACCACAGACAGAACAACTGAAGGGTTTCTCTCCCGTGTGGATTCTCATGTGCATCACCATGTCAGCTCTCCATTGAAAACTTTTTTTACAAAATGAACAACTAAATGGTTTCTTTACTTGTTGGCCTCCACTGTGTTCTTGCAGATGTTCTTTGTTGCCAAAGCCTGTAGCACATTCAGAGAAGCTACTTGATGTTTTTCCTGTAATACATTCCACATCACTTACTTCATTGTATTGCAGCGAGTTTGACTCATGTTCCCCGGTCTCCTCCCATTCGTCATCAGTCTCAGGTTCAGAGTGTGACACTATGTCATCAGTAGCTAGTTGTCCATCAATTTCTGTTTCTATCTGTTCAGTTAGTAATTGATGAAGCTGTGAAGGCTGAGGTTCCTCTTCATTGTCTTCTTCACTCTTCACAAGGACAGGAGTGAATGTGAACTTCATGATATCAGCCTCCTCTAGTCCTTGAAGTGGCTCTTCCTTCAGACTGGTCCAGAGTTCCTCCTGTTCCTCTTTAAAGTGTGAGGGCTCTGGTGGGTCCTCCTGGTCAAGGCTGGGCCTCCATCCCTCTTTAATGTGTGAGGGCTGTGGTGGGTATTCCTGGTCCAGATTGGGGCTCCACTCCTCTTTAATGTGCGGGGGCTCTGGTGGGTCCTTCTGGTCCAGACTGGGACGCCACTCCTCTTTAGTATTTGGGGGCTCTGGTGGGTCCTCCTGGTTCAGACTGGTGCACCACTTCTGCTGCTCAGTGGGAACCTCTTCTTTATTCACCAACAGCAGCTGGATGCCTGAAAAACAGCAAAATACATACACACATTTTGAAAATTGACTTCCTGTTAACATTTTAACCACCGATACAAAACTTTCTAAAACGTGGTAAAATAACCTACTAGAATTAGGGTAATGTATTCCTTCAAATAAAATGTGCAAATATTACCGGTGCGACTTAAGATAATTGCTTAAAAGTGATCAATAAAATTTTAAAGTCAATTCTAAAACATACTGGGAGCCAGTGTAGTGAAGCTAAAATAGGAGTAATGTGGTCATATTTCTTTGTTCTGGTTAAAAGCCTGGCAGCTGAGTTCTGGACAGTCTGGAGTCCATCAATATATTTTTGGGTTAAACAGGTAAAAAGGCTGTTGCAATAATCCAGGCGTGATGAGATGAAGGCGTGTAAAATGGTCTCGGTGTCCTTAAAAGTTAACATAGATCGAATTTTTATATATTTCTAAGTTGATAAAAACATGATTGAACAAGCTTTGGTGTGCTGCTCGAAATTTAAATTACTATCAAACCAGACACCAAGGTTCTTTGCAACAGGCTTAATGTGATTTACTAGCGGACCCAATGACCAGGATTTCTGTTTTGTCTGAGTTCAGCTGGAGGAAATTATTTGACATCCATTTTTTAACTTCACAAAGGCAGTTGTTAAGTGAGCTCAGCATTCCAGGGTCTGTGGTTCTGACGGGCAAGTATATTTGTGTGTCATCAGCATAAATATGAAAAGAAATGCCATGTTTATGGATAATATGTCCAAGGGGAAGCAGATACAAGGAAAACAAAATGGGTCCTTAGACCGACCCCTGAGGCACACCATATTTAAACTGGACAGAACGAAGAGACATAGTTGTTTACAGACACGCAAAACTTCCTATTTGACAGGTAGGATGAAAACCATTCTAGGGCAGTACCAGAGATCCCCACCCAGTGCCTCAGCCGGATTTTATCCATTCATCCATCATCAACAACAAAAAACAATATAGTTAGCAACAGACGGCAACAAAGGGGAACATTTCCACAACAATCATCTTCATCATCACCACCATCATCATCATCATCATGATCAACATCATTCATTCGTAGGGCTGGACGATATGGCCAAAACTTTTATCACGATAAAAAGTTTCATATCTTTCGATATTGATAATTATCACAATAAGTATCAAATCGTTATTTCTTTCAAGTTTAAAGGCTGATTTTTGCTTCTGAGTTAAAGTTGAAGAAACCTGATGGTTAATTGTGGTTTAAACTTTTCTTTATGGTCAACACTTCATGCCAAACAGGGGATCACTTCACAAATCTGAGATAGAACATTCAAAACATATGAAACAATCTTTGTCAACTAATACAGTGGATAGAAAAAGTCTACACACCCCTGTTAAAATGCCAGGTTCAATAATGAGACAAAGACAAATCATGTCAGAAACTTTTCTACCTTTAATGTGAACAACTCCATAGAAAAACAAACTGAAATCTTCGAGGGGGAAAATTAAAATTAAAAACCTTACAATAACCTGGTTGCATAAGTGTGCACAACCTCTTATAACTGGGGATGTGGCTGTGTTCAGAATTAACCAATCACATTCAAACTCAGGTTAACTAGAAGTCATTACACACCTGCCATCATTTAAAGTGACTCTGATTAATCACAAAGAAAGCTCAGCTGTTCTAGTAGGATTTTCCTGATATTTTCTCAGATGCATCTCCGAGCAAAAGTCACGGTCCGCAGAGAGCTTCCAAAGCATCAGAGAGATCTCATTGTTGAAAGACATAAGTCAGGAGACGGGTACAAAAGAATTTCCAAAGCATTAGATATAACCTGGAACACAGTGAAGACAGTCATCATCAAGTGGAGAAAATATGGCACAACTGTGACTTTACCAAGAACTGGACGTCCCTCCAAAATTAATGAAAAGACGAAAAGAAAAGTGGTCAGGGAGGCTTCCAAGAGGCCTACAGCAACATTAAAGGAACTGCAGCAATTTCTAGCAAGTATTAGCTGTGTGGTACATGTGACAACTATCTCCCGTATTCTTCATCTGAATGGGCTATGGGGTAGGGTGGAAAGACGGAAGCCTTTTCTTACAAAGAAAAACATCCAAGCATCCAAATCCACAAAAGCATGGCTTCACCAGAAGAAGATGAATGTTTTGGAATGGCCCAGCCAGAGCCCAGACCTGAATCCAATTGAACATCTGTGGGGTGATCTGAAGAGGGCTGTGCACAGGCGATGTCCTCGCAATCTGACAGATTTGGAACGCTTTTGCAAAGAAGACTGGGCAAATATTGCCACTTCAAGATGTGCCATGCTAATAGACTCCTACCCAAAAAGACTGACTGCTTTGATAAAATCAAAAGGTGATTCAACAAAGTATTAGTCTGAGGGTGTGCACACTTATGCAACCAGGTTATTTGAGGGGTTTATTTTTCATTTTTCTTCCTCAAAGATTTCAAATTGTTTTTGAATTTAATTGTTGACATTATAGGTGGAAAAAGTTCTGACATGATTTATCTTTGTCTCATTATTTTACATAATAAGAACCTGGCATTTTAACAGGGGTGTGTAGACTTTTTCTATCCACTGTATGCATAAGTAAAATTAAGTATAAGCTTTTTTCAGTTCTTTTTCCTCAACAAAATAATCTTCATAAAAAATAAGTTTGTATGGTTCAAGTGAATAAAATAAATTTACTTGAATATTTATTTGTTATATTGTTTTCCAAAAAAATGATATTGTGATAATTATTGTAATTTTTTATTGTCCAGCCCTTCATTCGTAAAACCAATTATTAAATTATTATAGATTATCTGCTTCTCCGGACTGAGTTTAGAAAGGAGATGGCAGTTGGAATGAAAACCTTCTATTCTATGTCTATTGCTCTTTACCGGGGGAAATCTAAACTGAGACATAAAGCATGTATGTGTAGCAATACGGGGAATTCCCAGTTTAGACCGGGCCTTTCTTCATTGTGACTCTTTGATGCACGTTATGCAAATCAATCCATTTCCATAACTGATGACAACAACGTCCTAACCCAGGGGCAGTAAGCAGGTAATATACCATTGTGTAAACAAGTAGTAACACTTTCTGTACTAGCAGCTATTAAAAGTACTAATACCATCCATCCATCTTCATCCGCTTATCCGGGATCGGTCGCGGGGGCAGCAGCTCCAGCAGGGGACCCCAAACTTCTCTTTCCCGAGCCACATTAACCAGCTCTGAATCGGGGATCCCAAGGCGTTCCCAGGCCAGTGTGGAGATATAATCTCTCCACCTAGTCCTGGGTCTTCCCCGAGGCCTCCTCCCAGCTAGACGTGCCTGGAACACCTCCCTAGGGAGGCGTCCTGGAAGCATCCTTACCAGATGCCCAAACCACCTCAACTGGCTCCTTTCAACGCAAAGGAGCAGCGGCTCTACTCTGAGCTCCTCGCGGATGGCCGAGCTTCTCACCCTATCTCTAAGGGAGACACCAGCCACCCGCCTGAGGAAACATTTTGGCCGCTTTTACCCGCGGTACTAATACCAAGTTGTATAAATACTCAGCAGACTTTTACTTGTAACAAAGTCAATAAAACAAGAACAATATACTTAGAGTAAGTACTCATTGTTCTGAAATATGTCCCCTGTGACTGTTATACTATAAAATACTATAATCAGATAATTAGTTTTGAAGCTTTACAGTGAAAGCAGGATTTTACTGATGTAGATGAAGGTGAAGCTTTATTTTTTAGGCAAGTGAAGAGTTGTTCTGCTGTCCAGAGACCTAAAACTAACCCTTCCTGGAACTAATGAGGTCTGAACTGGAGACACTATCATTATCCACACTACATACAGAGTATAAAATAAAACAGTTTATTACAGCATTGATTGATTGATCTTCCATATTTCAATAATGGTCAGCAAGAAAATAATTCCTACATCAGGGTTTGAATGCAGGACTTTTACTGGCAGTGGAGTATTTTCACAGAGTGGTATTAGTACTTTTACTGCAGTAAAGGCAGTTTACAGTGAGAATAAGCAGTAAAGTGCACAAACCTGCTCTGTGTAACCGGACTTCAGGCTTGAAAACAGCGTCCAGTAGTTTGCGTTGTCCACAAAGTTCCTCCTCGTACTCTGCTATCGTTCTTTCAAACAGCTCAAATATCTCTTCAGCAGCCGCACTTAGTCGCTGCTGGACAAAAGCTCTCAGCGTTTGGACTTTAGACATGTTTACAGCAGCTTTTCCTCCAGACACACTCCGTTACAGACACGCAGCTCACTCTGATAAAATACACACTGTGAGGCCGAGCTCCGGCTCCGGCTACTTCCTGCTGACAAGCTAACTTCCTTTAGCATTCTTGGCTAACAGGAGATGAGTCTGAGGTGAAACATCCCGAAAGTTTAAACAGAGTCCACTTAAACACGTTTCTCCTCACTTACAGGCTCTGCTGCTGAACTCCAGCTGGATCTTGGTGACGGAAACGTTAGCACGTTAGCCACCCGGAAGTACACTTCGGAGATAAATCAACGTTATGTGCGCGCTGCCACCTGCTGGACCGGAGTGTGAACCATCAGGACTCTGAAAGACTTATGTGACGGAAATTAAATATGTTTTTTTCTTTTCTTTATTAGTATAACAGTATTAACAATGCAACATACAGGGATACATACACTTAAAAGATATCTATGAAGATTCTCAGTCATCCAGGTCATAGTTATCCAAGGAAGGTTAAAAATCAAGGGCAACTGGACTTGGTTCACAGCTGAATCAGCTGCCTTCTTTCTTCCTCATATTTCTGACAGTGAACCATAACGTGTCTCTTGTTGCCCACTTATGTTACACCTGCCAGAGTTATGCTGACCAATATTGAATAATGCACTATTGGCTCGTCTCTCCTGTTCCTTCCTGCATATCTAATTTCTCCTACTCTCCTCTCAACTCAACTCAACTCAACCACCATCCTTCCTCTCTTCCTCCCATTGCTTTTGCCTCTTTCATTTTGTGTTTAATAATGCTCTTCATTTCTGTCTTACTGAAGTTAACTGCTACCTTGATATAGTCCCTTATAGGCCTCCTTTGCAACCTGCTATTTCCCTTGATGCCAGTGTGTGCTGGTATCCATAAAATATGACTGCAATGCCCATCATTTGAACTATGTATAATATTTGTTATACTTCTGTCTAAATGTCTCATCTGCTGTCTGAATGACTGCTCTGTAAACTGGTTAGTGATGAACTTGAGTCTAAACATATGATCGCTCTCAAGTTGTTTCCTCTTTCCGCTGAACTGCTAAACTGTGTGAGCTGATTCTTCATCACAGATCATTTTCACTATTCTATGGAATATTATTCTCATTATTCTTAAAACATGAGGTAATTTAAACATGGGAACGAGATACACAATGGAGCAGCTTTTGTCCCCAAAGCAGAGTGCACAGTGACTGCTCTAGCTGCCACTTAAAGCACTCTTTGGGTGATAGCTATAGAGAATATTTGATTAATTCTTTAACTTAGGAGTTATGCTGTGGCAATGGCAGTGATCGCCCAAGATGTATTAATAGTAACGGACATCTTGGTTTTCTGGAGAGTGCGGTTTAGTCCTTATTTGGTAGGTTGTTGGTGTCTTCCTTGTGCTATAATAGGTCCTCATTCTCTATTACTGTAGTTTCCCCTCTTCACTAATATTATCTGGACTGTGAAGATTAATAAAAGCTTTTGCTAGCATCTCTCATCTCCTCATCTCTCACTGCTGTTCTTTCTCCATCATTTAAGACTCTATGTTTTTTGCTTTATTCTTTGCAGCCTTTAGAATCGCTTTACACACAAAGATTTAGATTATCAACATTTTCATTTGTATCAATTTGCCACATTTTTCTGGCATTCATTGATATTCATATGTGAATGTGTCCTAACACGACACAGTACATGGAGGGTTCCATGTAGGCCCGAAAAAGACATCAAAACCCTTGCGACATCCCGTCACACGTGAGAGATATAAGTGTATTGCTTAGATTATAAAGTCTCAGTGAATCTAAAAAAAACTATTCGACCATCAGTGATGCTGCTTTGGTGTTGGTGATCCTGTAGGTGGACTGATTAAACAGTCATGATCCGAGTCAGACAAACACACTGAGCCAAGAGACTTTTTGTTGGCGCAACAAGAAGCAGGGTCAGGGAACAGAGACAGAACCAAACAGGAAACAAGGACTGACACTAAACATGGAACACATGCAAAACAAACACAAACTTCTGTCTTTAGTCATCTTTTGACCATATGATTTATCAGGTGACCCTTTCCATAGGTTGGGAACAACTAGACTAAACTAACTGTATATAAAATAGGTCTAACTAGCTCATCCAACATCCAGCTCGACTGTAATCCAATAATGTATATCAGTCAGAGGGACCAAACCATGATTTTTACTCCAATTGGCTTCTTCATACAATCATACTTTTGTACTATTGAAGTAGGATTTTCATGTAGGCCTTTTACTTGGAGGTAATGGTAATGTAGAACGTTTACACTGCTGTACTTTTAATGAAATAAAGGATCTTAATACTTCCACCAAAAATACAAATAATGCCCTGGTTGTAAGATGTTCTGCAGAGAAACATGTTTGGTAATGACAAGTTATCATCATCTACTTATTTCCTGACTGACTTGTAGCTGATCCTTAAAGTTTATGTGAGACAACCATAACTTGACACAGACAGGCACTAAACATACTATGATCACAATACAGAAACAAATGAGGACACAGACAAGACAGACCAACAAGCGGACCAGGATGAAAGAAACATAACACAGAATACATCAAAACGGGAAACAATGAGCAGATCTCAGAACAAAGACACAGGAATAAAAACTAAGCAGATCTTGCAAATAAACATAAGGATAAACAAGGCTGAACAGAGGAAACACAAAACATGAAACAAGAACCATGACAGGAGGTTTATTGCTGCAACAAAACAACTGCAAACTGCAACAAACATAAATACAAGTCCGGGATAAAGATACCCAGGTGAAGAATCATTACAGCATCAACAACTCTCTCAACAAACATATGGCAGCTGAGTAGTGCACACAAACAGGCTGGAAAAATCTGAACTGTTTTAAAGGGAACTTGGTAAATCCAACACATCAGCTGTCAAACTGTGTGAAATCAAAGTTTGTCTAAACACTTGCGATCTGACCGGAATAACACAAATACAGTATGAGCAGTTTCAGAATCAACTGTTCATGTTTTACATATAATGAGATCAATTCAAGACCGGGAGTCCATTCAATTAAAAAATAAACTCATTTCATTTAGAAACAGTGCAGCACATGTGACATAAACACTTTGAGAACTTTCTTCCATTTCAAATTCATGTTATACCAAAAATCACCTGGAAAACGACCAAACAATGTGACAGATAAAAACAGTGTTGAGCCAAGACTTGTCCTCAGTACTTTAATCCTGCTGGAAGGAACTGGCTCAACAAGCATCTCTGCAGCTTCATTTACTCCCACTGCTCAAGTCAAGTCATTTTACTTATAAACCACATTTTAAAACAACACATGTTGACCTGTACATGTGCTGTACAGGTGACAACAAATACTTTTAGGCAACTGTAATACAAAAACACACAGTTCCTGGAAAATTTCAGAATAATGGAGACACATAAAAACATTAAAATATTCACATGGCTTCATCTTAGCTGAAAAGATTAAGCACAAGTTGTTTTGGTCATGTAAATTAGAAATAAACTGTGCTGTTGGAAGGAAAGTCCAGTCATTCCAGACTTTAAAACAACACATTAACCATAGTGATGTACTTTAGACAATTTCAATCCATTTTAAATCAGTGAATAAATGTAACATCAAAGAGCACCCGGAAAATGACAAAATAATTTAAACACAAATAAAAACAGATTTAAAATGAACACGTGACTTCATCTTGGTTAAAAAGAAGCAAGACTTATTTTTGAACTTACCAACTTATCTTATTGCGTCAAGTTTTGCCCTCAGTACTTCAATCTTGCTGAAAGGAATCGGCTCAACAAGCATCTCTGCAGCTTCATTTGCTTCCACTGTTCTTACTGGCACACTTGTGCTTTTTGATGTGATCATGCCGAATGAATCTTTTACCACAAATGCTGCAAGTATATGGTCTCTCCCCCGTGTGGATTCTCCTGTGTCTGTACAAAGCGCTTCTGTCACTGAATCTTGATTTACAAACTGAGCAAGTGAACGGTTTTTCTCCTGTATGAACTCTTGAGTGTGTGGTCAAGTTTGAGCTTACTGTGAATGTCTTACCACAAACTGAACAACTGAATGGTTTCTCCCCTGTGTGGACCGTCAAGTGTTGTCTCAGAAGTGTCTTTCGTGTAAATCTTCTACCACAAACTGAACAACTAAATGGTTTCTTCCCCGTATGGATTCTGCTGTGTCTGGACAAAGCACTTTTGTCACTGAAACTAGTTTTACAAACTAAGCATGTAAAAGGTTTTTCTCCTGTATGAACTCTTAAGTGTGTGTTCAAATTTGAGATTTTAGCGAATATTTTACCACACTGAGAACAACTAGAGGGTTTCTTCCCTGTGTGGATTGTCATGTGTTTGGACAAATTGCTTCTGTCATGAAAAGTTGTTTTACAAACTGAGCAACTGAAAGTTTTTTTTCCTGTATGAAATCTTAAGTGGGAGGTCAAATTCGATCCTCGTCCAATTACTTTACCACAAACTGAAACAAATGGTTTCTCTCCTGTGTGAATTCTCATATGTCTCTTCAGGTTTGAGTTCTGGCTGAATCGTTTACCACACTCAGAGCAGCCGGATGGTTTCTCACTAGTGTTACATCCACTGTTATTTTGCAGAGGGTTTGAACCTGACTGAGGTTCCCTGGTCTCCTCCCAATCACAACTGTCATCAGTCTCAGGTTCAGAGGGGTCTGACGTCTTGTCATCAGTATCTGGTTGTAAATGTCTATCTGGATCAGAGTTCCTGGCTGGTTCTGGTCCTCCACAGTCCTCTCCATCAGCCTCTGATTCCATCTGTTTATGAAGCTTTGAGGACTGAGGTTTCTCTTCATTATGTTCTTCACTCTTCACAGGGACAGGAGTAAATTTGAACTTTGTGATATCAGCCTCCTCCATCCATGGAAGCTGCTCTCCCTCCTGACAGGTCCAAAGTTCCTCATGTTCCTCTTTAATGTGTGGGGGCTCTGGTGGGTCATCCTGGTCCAGACTCAGGCTGCATCCCTCCTTAATGTGTGGGGGCTCTGATGGGTCCTCCTGGTCCAGACCGGGGCTCCACTCCTGCTGCTCAGGGGGAACCTCTTCTTTACTCACCAACACCAGTTGGACGTCTGTGGAGAATAATGAAATACATACACATCAATCATGTTTTTATCAACTTAGAAATACAGCTAAAATTTGATCCATGTTAACTTTTAAGGACACCGAGACCATTTTACACG